TTATTTTTTTTAACATATTGGCTTGTAAAAAAAAAAAAACCACAACAAAAATCCAGTTATTTTCACTTTTTTTCCCTCAATACAGTTATTTTACATATTTTCACAGTTTTATACCATTTCTGAAAATATCAATTGAAATTACAGGAAAAAAAATCTTATTTTAGAATTGAATCTTATTATTTTACAATTGAAAACAAGCAAAAAAAAAACCCCAACAAAACCAGAACGTCCACATCAAATGTTTGTATATTTACAAATCACCATTTTGTCACTTTTTGAACAAAATGACACAAATTTTCAGATAAAAATTGTTTTTTTAGAAGATATTTGCCGTCATTTAAAATAAATATTATGGACGTAAAGGACTGAAAAATGGTAAGTAATTATTTCTATAATAAGTACTTTAAAGACTTTTTAAATTTTGCTAAATTACAGATAATAAAATGGTAAAATCATAGAGAAATAAAGTGTTAATTTACATGTAGACTGTTAAAAAAAGAAAGAAAAAAAGCAGTTATTTTCACAGGTTTTTACATTTTTAAACATTACAATATTCCACCAATTTTCTAACAAATTATTATCATTATTATTATTTTTATTATTATTATTTTACTGAATTCATTTGCAGACATTGAAGGAATAATCCAGTCTATTGTGTGTTTATTACTCAAAAATGAGAAATCATTTTCTAACTCTTTACAAATTTTCCCTGTTTTGTTAAATTAAAGCTCATATCTTATAAAATCTACACGTTTATTTATTAAAACAACATAAAACGCCCCAGATTGACTCTAACGCTGGTATTTCTGCCCTAACAGCGCCGATCGGCCTCCAGCGGCTCCAGAACCTTTACTTTCCAGCCCGGCTGTGGTTCTGCTGATGAGGAGCTGACAGACTGACTGGACGCCGGCTCGTTGACGCTCATTGGTCAGGACAGGACGCTCGCTTCCTGACAGCCGGTGCAGAAAAACGCTGCTTCTGCTGAACTTGCACGTCGACAAGAAACAAAAAGAAGGAAAATAAAAATAAAAGAAAAGCAGATCTGAGCTGCTTCGCTCCCCGATCGTCTCCATCAGGGTTTATGCTGATGAGAAGCAGGAGGAGGGTCTGCAGGCAGATAAAAATGGAATCAAAGCCTCCTGCAGGAGTCTGGGGACGGAGGAGGAGGGGCGGAGGCGTCCCAGCTGGGCCTGACAGGGCCCGGCTGGGTGGTCCCACCCAGGGGGTCCGGTCACGGCGGCCTGGAGACATGTCAGCGCTGACGAGGCTCAGGCCGAGAAAGGAGGCCGAGGAGCTGGACGCTGGTTCTGGATCAGAGAGACGAAGTGACGAGACAACAGAGGAGGAATAGAAACACGATGAGAGCTGAAGGAGTGAAGTCATGTTGTTCTGATGAATTAATGAAAAAAAACAGACTGTACGTAACAGCAGCTTCAAACATCTGGACTTTTACAATTTAAATCTGTATTTTAAAGATATTTGAAAGAAGAATTACGTCTATTAAGGATTGAAAACTGGTCCATGGGTTCCTTATTTACATGAGTTTTTTCCTGTTTTGTTAAAATTATAAATAATATTTAGTAAAATGACAAAACAAATAATAAATAAATGACATTTTTCAACCTATGATGTTAAGAATTTGTCTTGTCAATATGATTTTTTGCTTATTTAAACACAGTATTACAAAAAGAAGAACGTGTCATTTTACAGTTAAACGTAAAAAAAAAACAAATAAATAGTTTTTTATGTGATTAAAAAAATCACACAACAAACAGGACAAAAATGTAAAATAACATCCTTGTCAAAAAATGACATTTTTACAAATCAGAATTTATTCTTTTTTATAACATTTAACCATGAATTTACTGTTTTTTACTGGATGTAAATCAGTGAAAAATATCATTGTTAACCTGTTTTGTTAAATTACACATAATACAGAGTAAAGTCACAGAAACACACTGTAAAAAATAAATATTTGTAAAAATTACGTTATTTATAACGAAGATGTAAATAAAAACTTTTCTGTAATTTTACTAGAAATCATCTGTAATTTAACAAAACAGGGAAAATCTGTGAAATAACAGTTCTGCAGTTCTCAAAATACATAGTTTTACAGACAAATTGGAAAAATCTGTAAAATATCAGTAAAATTGTAAATTTACAGTAAATTACTTTTTGTAAAAATAAAGACTTTTAATGTTGACTTTACAGTTTGCATCGTTTTTGTTTGTAATCCATTTGTAAAAATATTCACTTTTTTTTCAATGATTTCTGATTTAACAAAACAGGGAGAAACCGGTAATCTCTTTCTGGTCTTTATGCTAAGCTATGCTAACCGGCTGTTGGCATCAATCTTTTTAAGTTTTGACAGTTTCATTTTTCATTAGCATTTATTTATTGATTGGTGGCATTAATAAAGAAAGCGTGTTTATCCCTAGCTAGTGTCTGGTCTTTATGCTAAGCTAAGCTAACCAGCTGCAGCTGTAGCCTCGTATTTTGTGACATAACTTCCTAAAACTTTTGCTCCAAGCAGCAGATCTTTGGTCCGAATGTTAGAAACAGCAGAAGGTGAGTGAGACGTGAAATCAGATTAGCGCCTCGCGGGTCAGCGAGTCGCAGCTTGACTTGAACCAGAGACTGGATGTGTGGTGACAGCTAGCCGATGTATTGATCGACGGCAGATCCTGAGGGAGGAATCCTGCAGAGTTCACTCAGGGTGCCAGAAGATGAGTCACAAAATCCTCTTTTACAGCTTTTCTTTGCATCGCAGTGACTCAAAGCTAACCGCTAACCGTTGATGTCACCGACGGAAGGATAACGACTGTTAACATGAAATTATTACTTTAAATCTGTGATTTTACGAGATAACATCTGTAATTTAACAACACAAAGGTCATCTGGAAAACCACAGTTTAAAATATAGACATTTATGAATCCCTAACATACAGAATTTCCCAAAAAACACTGCAAATATGTGTAAAATGAGGATTTCTTAGGTGGATTTTAAGACGTTTAACAGGGTCGTTTTATGGTCGAACACAAATTTATGATGTTCTTTGCTGATTTACACACATTTAATGATGCAGCTTTAGTTAACTACTATTTGTAAATACACCACGTTTTGATGATTTACAGTTTTTGCATTTTTTTTCATTTATTTATTTTAGAAAAAAACATTTTTAAACTTTATTATGTTTTTATTTTTTTATTTACAATTTACAAATTTCCCCAATTTTGGTAAATTACATATAATTATGAGTTATGTCACGAAAAAATCTAGTTTTTTTTTTTTTTAAGTACATTAAATTAATACTTGTTTTTCAGTGATTTTACAAATAATTTTCTGTGACAAAACAGGCAAAGAATGTAAATTAGAGAGCTGCCTCTGTTAAAAGGGGAAAACAATATATAAATATTTTTTTTTACAAAAAATTATTTTCTCCATTTATGTAAATTATGTAAATTAACTAGAACAATCTGAAAAAACAAAACAAAAAACTGTTTATTTTCTGTAATTTAACAAAACAGTGAAGACCTGTAACGATATTCACAGAATTCGTTTAATTAAAGTCGGTAAAATCCCTGAAAAACTGTAAATCCTCATAAACCTCTATTTCCCTTCATACGGGTCGGCTCTGTTCTTCCTGTTCTGCTGCTGGACTCGGTGGTTCCTGCTCGTTCCTCCTGATGCTCTTTGATCCTCCGTTAGCTCCACTAACGACTCATTAGCGTTCACACTGACCTCCTCTAATTGGCCTCCTGAGCTTCACTTCTTCTTCTCAGCCGAAGCTGAATGACGTAAAAATCACCTTAAATGAGTTGTTAATCCACTTGGTGGTTCTGTTTTCGATCTCTTTCAGTTTGTGGATGTTGATTTGAGTGAACTCTGGTTTAACATCTCTGCTCAGCTGAACACCTGGAACCTGTCCAGGTGGATCTGATCTGAGGTCAGCGTGACTGAATAATGATGAAAACATGGAGCTGCTGATGAGTGATGTGAAGCTTTAAAGCATAAAACAGTTTGAACTGTAATTGTTTGAGCAATTTACAGTTTTGTTAAATGATTTCTAATAACCAGTAAAATCAGAGGAAATAAGCATGTATTTACCAGATTGTCACCTTTCTTTTTACCAGGTAATTTTTTACAGTGTAGTAAACACAGCAACACCTGAGGCTGCTGACTGGAGCTCTGCAGGACGTGAAGCCTTCATTTAACTCCAGGTTTCATCTGATCTGTTTGTCTGACATCAGCTGGCTGTCAGTCAGCAAACAGGAAACCATGAAGCGTCTTTTTGTTTGGAAATCTTTGTTCGCTGTGAAGTCGACTGGAGGCCGATGACGGCTGTTTTTCTTCCTCTCGTCTTTAACTCTGCATCACTGAGTCGTGAGGTGGAACGTTAACCCGACAAAGGCTCTCCAGACTGTTTCTGGTTCACGGGACGAGTTAAGTACGACTCGGAGGCTCGAATTCCCGACTGTTGACACAAGTCGCCGGCGTCGTGCAGGTCAGAGGGAAGCATGTGAGCTCACGTCTCAGCCCGACCCATAAAAGGTTAAAGAAAAACCTGAAGCCTCTCCGGACGCCTTTAATCTCCACCGTAAAAAAAACAGACTTTGAGCTGCTCGAGTGTTGACGAACACTCACAGCGAACATGAATCCTCTTTGTCCCTGTCGTTCTGATTTATTAGTCTTTCTGCCACATCTTACAGGCTAACTGTCATGTTTTTGTGACGCTATCGTGTTGGAAAATAAGATTAATACGATAGTTTTGGCTCCAGACTGTCAATCTGCAGCTAAAAATGTTCTTCTGTTAGCCTGCATAGTATTTTAAAATACGCACATCAAATTACATGTCAAGAATGCAGAATTCTTTTATGCTAACGTTAGCATGCTACCAAAGACGGTTATCGCCACCGCGAAAAATGTATTTAAGTTCTGAGAAAAAAGTCAGAATTCTGAAAATCCCAACTAACATGTTCATGAGAGCAACGTTCATATGATATTTACCAAGCTAACCATGCTAATTTAGCATGTTAGCATGTTAACATTTGCTAACTAGCGCCAACTAAGGCCATAAAAGAATGTTAAGCTCTTGTCTGTCCTGTTGTTGGGTGACACGCTGGTAAAACGTCTGATTTGCAGGAAGTAGCTTCATAGTTGTATTAAAGTTAGCCTCCGCTAATTTGGCTACGGTTAGCTTACGGTTAGCATTTGCTGGAGGTCTGGTAGCAAAGATGTTGCAAAAATGGAAAACATATGGAACGAAGTGGTCCAAAATTGTGAAAATGACAAAATCTTAAAACTATACGATAAAAATAGTGTAATTTTATGGTCAAATACTGTAAAAACAAATAAATAAACAAACTAATTAGCATTTATGTAATTACGTGGGTTGATGGTTAAGATAGATTTTTTATTTTTTTAGTCCCTAATATACATACTTTTCCAGATATTTGTGGTTATTTGAAAGAAATTGTTTGTGTATTAAGGGTATTTTAAAATGTATATATATTGTTTTACAATTTTTACCTTTTATCACATTATGTATTAATACTAAAATTCCACTTACACTGTCTTATAAATACAGATATGAGGATGATAAATGCTACAGATATTAAAAGACATCAGTACTGATTATTAGAATAAAAATGAATGTGGCAGAAAGTCACCGACGTGTTCACGTCACGGTTTAATAAAACGTTGGGTTACTTGTCCGTCGCTGAGCCTGAAGCTGCTCCATTACTCTGATTGTAGGTTTGAATCGCTGCCAAGAACCCGACCAGAACACCAGCCGTGAATACGAATGTCGGCCTTGAACATCTGAAGGAGGAACGATTCAGTTTTATTTATCTCCTCGGGTTCATTCAGAAACACAACCCTACTGCTCATGCTCAGAACTGGAGGAGGACTGCAGCTGTTGATTAGCTTGCGTGCTAAGCTAATGTGGGCTAGCGCTAATAAAAGCTTCTCATGCATTGACGATGATGTGAAATTATCTTAAAATCAACAAGCATTTAATATTTGGGACCCAAAATTAAACTTTGTAAAATATCTTGGCTGAGTTTTTTAATTTTATTTTGTTTTCCAATCTGGAATTTTTTGTATT